AAAAAAAAAAAAAAAAAAAAAAAAAAAAAAAAAAAAAAAAAAAAAAACTGGGCATATGTCCTGAAATTTGTGACGATGCTCACAATAATTTTTGAAAGAATACAAGTGTGTGAACTTATTCAGCGTGAACTCTGCTTTTGAAGTAATGTCCTTTAATTACCTATTTCTTTTTCCGTTATGGTTCTAATCAACTGACTTGTTTATACCTGGCGCAGATTGACTGGCGGTGGTATTTCAATCTGATGTTTGAAAATGTGGAGAACGTCACATTGGATCTTGAGGACGATGATATAATTTTAGTATACAACGTGGACTATTTTGAAGGTCTCATCAAAGTTCTCGAGAGGACGGCGCCGCAGACTGTCGGTAAGTCATGTTAAATTATGAGGTCTCGATACACGATCAAATTCCGAACCAATCCCGATCAAAGTAGACCAGTTGATGACTGATGGTCACCATTAGGGTGGCCCACAAAAAATGAATTTCGGAAATTTATAGCCGTAACCCCTTAAATCGGTTACAGCATGTTCAAGAACACGGAAAATGAAATTTGAGGTTAATCGGACAAAATTAACCCGACGTGCAGTTGCCATTTATCCCCGCAAAAATAGCGAATTTTTACTGTTTTTCAGTAATTTTTCGCTCCCAAAAAATAAAGTCGGAGGGGTCTGCAAATTAAACAGAGGGCAAAATTAGTTCATAAACTACACCCTAGTGAAGTTTTTGATCCCCTCCATGCTTTTGACCCGACGCGCGGTTGCCATTTTCACGCATGAAAATAGCGAATTTTCGACTGTTTTTGATGATTTTTCCCTCTGGATAAATTAACGTTACAGATGCCTAAATTGTAATCAGAGTGTGAAATTAGTAGCTAAGATGCTCCCAATACTCCCCTTTTGATAATTTTGACACGCTGCGACGTTGCAATTTTTCTGAGCAAAATCGTGAATTTCGACTTATTTCAATATCATCTCTCTAGACCTAAAAAAACTCAGGAGCCATCGAAAAAGTGCGCTAAAACACGGTGATTATACCATGAGTATCTTTTTTGAAAATTTGGACCCTAAAATGTTTTACTCGGCGTGAAGTTACCACTTGGCAAGTAGTGGTTGACGGTAATAGTCAATTTTCATACGTTAACGCGCCTTCAATTACATTGGATACTGTGCAATACTTTCGTGGTGGAATAGCTGCATTGGCACCTACAAACCTAACAGGGATACTTACTCATTGCGCAATGCATGCAGTATCCCTGTTAGGTTTGTAGGCGCCAATGCAACTATTCCACCACGAAAGTATTGCACGGTATCAAATGTAATTGAAGGCGCACTAACGTTTGTCAAAAGCTTGGCGGACAAACATTCTCAGGTATGTATGTTGCACTCGCCATGCAACGGTCTCCTTTGATCAAAATTGGACGGGCCGTCAAATTTTGATAAGAATGAAGTGCCATCATTCATCATTTCTTGCCACACGAAACATTTCTGCCAGGTTTTCATTTGAACATTAGGCGAAGTGACGATTTTAAGACTGATTAGTCCCGACACTTTGATGGTAATTGGTTCGGAAATTTGATCGTGTATCGAGACCTTTACCCTTAAGAATGAAGTCATCTAAAGTAAATGTTTGTAAAGAAAACCACCTTGAAATGTAATTGCAAAATCATCAAATTTGGTGCTGTTGTAATATGGGTTATTGAAAGAGAAACTATATTTTTTTTACTATCGCGGAGTCGATGTAGCCGCTTTGAGAGCATAGCCTCGCGATAAAAGGGAGATTATTTTATGGAGTTTCTTCCGCCCTCTTTCTAAAATTCATTTAGTTTATTTTCTTATAAAAAACCTCTCATGTGCATCTTTTAAAATTTGTTGTTTTTGTTGTACATTTTAAGGCCAATTTAATTGATACGCATCTTGCGATTTATTTATCCCTGTCCTCTTTCAAAGAATCACGATTACCTGTAGTTTCCGTCATCCTCTTTTCAGATCTTTTTTTAAAATTTACGCTATGACAATAAAAAGGTAATGATGAAACGATTGGATTGATAGACGTATCCGCTCAGAGTTTACGATGCTACTACATGGATATTTGCCCATTCTTTCCAATACCAGATTTGCCTTCTATATTTGAAAACAAGCTTGTGAATTTCACTATGAGGATTTTTAAAATTAATTTTTTTAAAAGCACAATATTTGATTGTTAATTGGATCGCATTTTGCAAAAAGGAACCGATAGCATTGCAATGTTGCTAAGATTGTGCAACTTCTTTTGTCTTGGAGGAAAACCCCGATTATCCATTAATAGTTTCTATTTTACTGATCGCTAAAGACTGTGAATTTAAGACAAAAATTACCATCTAAATTTCATAGTTTTTCACGATTTCCGCAATTTTATTGCAAAGGATGAAGTTGCACAATCTTAGCATCATTGCAATGCTAGTGGTTCCTTTTTGCAAAGTGCAATCCAATTGTAACGCGAGACGAGAAATAGAGGGAAGAATATGGTTCCTCCGTATTAGGAGAACATTTTAAGCAAAGATTTGATTTTGATTGTTCCAGAGTTCATGTTTTGGTTGGATATTGTTCAGTTATTAGCGCCTCACAGCACCAAGGAACTGCGTAGATTGAACCAAGACTTCATTGAAGCGTTGACAGGCATCCAAACGATCAAAACAAGGTAACCCATAATCGTTGTCTGCATAAAGTAAGCTGCAAGCAACTTCAAGTATGCTTCTGTATTGAATTCAAGACATTGTATTTTTTTTTAACCATTATTTATGATAAATGTACAAAGAAATGATCCTTTTGATAAATAGAAAATAATACACAAACAACAAGAAATGGAAAACCCAGCTTCAAGTTTTTGTGAGAGACGGGAGGAGGGATAAAAATCTTGGTATGGAAAATCGATCTCATGGACTAATTTTCCGTACCATTTTTCTGTGGTAAGGTATTTCCTTACGCTATCGTCATCATCCGTTATTTCACGTTTTCTCTTCCTCTTCTCTCTCTCTATCCTCCCTATACGCGATTAGTCATTTTTTTGGGTCTTTGAATAAAAATAATCACGCAGGACAATAAGTTAGTCTCGCAAATAAAAGCATCGAAGTTCCTCCATTTTAAAGACTATGCAATTTCAGCTACAGTAAAGCTGAAATTGTTGCCTCACGAAAATTATGTTAACACGGGAGTTTAATAACGTCTTTTAATTTCGCCTTTCGATAGACAGCTAAGGATGTTTTCAAGTTTTAATGTCACCAAGTTTGAATTGAAAGTATGTCGCATCGAGTGATATTTCCCTCTCTTAATACGACTTGAGGGGACTTTCAATTAAAAATGTTTCTGTCCACCATAGTCAGGCCCGGACTTAGGGCGTGTGCAGGGTGTGCGGCGCACACGGGCGCCAGCCTTTTGGGGGGCGCCACGAAAGAAGAAGAGAGGGAAAAAAGGGGGGAAAGGGAAAAGGAAAAAAAGGGAAGAAAGGACAAGGGGAAAAAAGGAAAAGGAAACAAGGTTGGGCAGTGAAAGCAAGGAAGAAGGGGGGAAATGGTAGGAATAAGGAGGCAAGAAAAGTGAAAAGAGAGTCCGCGAGAAAGGGGGGGGGCATAAAAACCACAGACAAAATATAAAGAGAATTGCCGTCTAAAGGTAAATTTTTAGGACAAAAACTCCACCTGGTCCATAAACGGTCAGGCACCCCTTGACCCTAAATTTGCGGCTGTACAGAAATACAAGAGTAGGCATGTAGTAAAGGGGCGCCATAAATCCATCGAACAGGAGCCGACATAGCATTTTAGGCCACGTCCGCCATCTTGGATTTGAGAATTTTTAAACATAGTAAAAATTCGAGTTTCCGGTCGAAAAATACCATCAGGCACCGAGTTTCAAAAAAATCCATCGAATAGGAGCCGACATAGCATTTTAGGCCACGTCCGCCATCTTGAATTTGAGAATTTTCAAAAATCGACTAAAAATTCGAGTTTCCTGTCGAAAAGTACCCCTGATCCCGCGGTTCATAAAGCCCTAACGAACAGAAACGGAGGCCAGAACCGGGGCTCTTTTTCGGCCACATCCAACATTTTGGAGTTGAGAATTTTAAAAAGTTGACTAAAAATTCGAGTTTACCGTTGAAAAATACCGTGTGATACCGCTATTCACAAGACTCGAACAAACAGAAACTGAGATAGCATTTTAGCCCGCTTCCGCCATCTAGAATTTGAGAATTTTAAAAAATGGACTAAAAATTCGAGTTTCCTGTCGAGAAATACCTCCTTACACCGAATTCCAGAAAAATCCATCGAACAGGGGCCGAGATAGCATTTTAAGCCATTTCGGATTTTCGAATTTTGAATTTTTTGAATTTTGACAGATTTTGATTTAAAACGCGTGATCCCCAAAATCGAAGCTCAGATTCGGATTCCTCGTAAAAAATCGATGCGATTTCATGTATCATACCCTGACACCAGGGAATCCATCTCAGGAGAATCCATCAAACAGGAGCCGAGGTGGCATTTTAAGCCACTTCAGTCATTTCGGATTTTTGAAGTTGAAAAATTTTACTTAAAACGCGTGATACCCAAAATCGAAGTTCAGATTAGGATTCCTCGTAAAAAATCGATGCGATTTCATGTATCATACCCTGACACCGAATTTCAGGAAAATCCATCAAACAGAAGTCGAGATGGCATTTTAAGCCACGTCAGTCATTTCAGATTTTCGAATTTCGAAAATTCGGCTTAAAACCCGTGATACCCAAAATCGAAGTTCAGATTCGGATTCCTCGTTAAAAATTGATGTAATTTCATGTATCATACCCCAGCATAGCGTGAAGGAAAGAGGCGTAACGTAGACATACTGATTCGAGCATATGAATCCAACGTGGCAACATGGGTAGTGCTCAGTGGGTCAGCGGAGGAGGAAGAATAAGAATTTATCGTGAGAAATTCCTCGGGACGAAACCGAACGCTTTAAGCGCCGGCGCGGCGTAGTTCAAAGGAATAGTATGACAGAATCTATACGCGTCGTTAAACCTTTTTCCTTCAGGCTATTTTAACATATGATACATGAAATCTCATCAATTTTTCACGAGAAATCCGAATCTGAGCCTAGATTTTGGATATTACGCGTTTTAATCTATTTAAAATCGTAAGAGAATTTACAGAATTGTCCTTGAAAATTAATCTCACATAAGTGTTTTTTTACGTTATTAAACCTCTTTCCTTTACGCTATTCTAACATATGATGCATAAAATCTCATCAATTTTTCACGAGGAATCCGAATCTGAGCTTAGCTTTTGGATATTACGCGTTTTAATCTATTTAAAATCGTGGGAGAAATTACAGAATTGTCCTTGAAAATTGATCACACATTAGTGATTTTTTACCCCGTTTTTCTTCTAAGTTCACGTAATGAAATCAGATCAACAGTTGACTCATAGACTAGTCTAGCCTAACCCCCCAGAATCGGTCTAAAGGGCGAACGATTTTATCAGATAAGATGTGCGGTCCTAGTTTCCGGACAATCGCGGTTTGATGGAAGCTGCGATGAGGAGAAACGGAAGATATGCGAAACTCGGGCGGATATTAAGTGAGAAACCAGTAAGGGGAAAGGCTTTTTTCCCGAAAAGTTAGTGCTCGGGCCAACTTACATGGTCTTTGGAGCATTGTATAGCAGGTTGTGGGAAACTATTTTTTTGCAGCAACAACCAATTGGATCGCATTTTGCAAAAAGGAACTAAGAGCATTTCAATGTTGCTAGGATTGTGCAACTTAGGTACATTCTTTGCAAAAAGTAAACTTTGCGACGGTAATTTTCGTCTTGAATTCATAGTTTATTGGGAGTAGAGGTGAAACTAGTTTAGATGATCCTTTACGTTTGGACGGTTAGCGACATTGGAATACTCTTGACCATAGTACAGGTATTTTATCGTCTGTTCCGTCACCATGAGTTGCTCTTGGGTGCTTTGAGTGCTTTGGGTGTTGACAATTAAATCGGAAAAATATCTAGACATAAAATATTTGTGGCACAGTAAACTTTTTTCCGCGTATTATTCATCGCATCGCTCTCCAGGTGAACTTTGAAATAAAAATAAAGTTCCCAGTTTCGAACGCTATATGCATTCCTTATTTCTTCATTCAGAGCAGTTAGCTTTTTCAGGGGGAATATTTATACGTGGTGCAATGTTTATGCCAAAGGGTCTCACGAAATTGAAGGCCGGACTTTTAACGAAGAAATTTGGCTTTATGCCGATTGGTGCTTACACCTAACTTCACAGAATCTAATATGCCACATTTTCTTACACAATTTCAGAGAACTACAATGCACTGAATCAGTGATTCAGTTGATGGGGATGGCAGTCAGTTATTCAATTCTGAATGAGGAGAATCTAAGAACAACTAAAGAACGAGTAAGTGTTCAACTCCGTAATTTTGATTGATTTTTAATAATGAATTTCGATTATTTCCAATGTAATATTATCCTCGTTAGGCTACTATGTTGCTCAAAGTATTTATGTATTATAAATTGCAAGAAATTAAATAAGGAGGATAACAGAAGCAGAGGTTCAGTTGTAAAGTTAATATGAGATTTCATTCACTATTCCGACCATTTGCGAGGTCGCATTCAAGAAGGAAGCCCTAAGCTGCCGAATTTGGCAGCCATATAGTAAAGCCCCCATATTAATTTACCTACTGAACCGCTTACAGGTAGAAGAAATGATCAATAATATTCGATGGGCATTTGAGAAACTAATTGAACGTCTGGACTGGATGGATAAACCGACGAAATCGGCAACACTGGAAAAGGTTGAAGCCATGAGGAGCTTTATTGGGTACCCAGAATGGCTTGCTGAGCCACGCCAGCTTGAGGAATACTACTCAGGGGTAGGTATCCATTGCATACGTGTATGCTTTTTATTTTGGAGCAAAAAGAAAGTAAGTAAGAAGCGAACAAAACAGCAAGAGTAGGAGCAGCTTACCTTTACTATATATTATTACCTTACTGTTTATTATACGTATTAATATTGCATAGTTTTAAGACCGTGCTGATACTAATTTGTTTAAGGTATTTACTTTTTTGGAGAGAGCTATATCGCGACGCTAATAACTATCCTGCAAAAAAAATTTAAAAAAAGAAGAATAAGCGAATCAAACTATAACTCATATTGGAACTTTCATAATTTTATCTATATGGTCCCAACTTGTTTTCTCGAGATATTTACTAAGTGACAGATACTCGTTACTGCAAAATGTAATTGAGGATAGGGCTTCAATCGAGGGGCTAGGAGGACAAGAGGCGCATAAGTGCAGTTTTTGAAAAATTTAGAAATTAATGATTTCAAGTAAAACTAGTCTTAATGCACCTTCTGAAAAAATTCGCTACCGAATTCCAATTTTTAAGCATCAAAACGTCAGTTTGAACTTTCTTTCCACTCAAAGGATCCATGTAATTTCGAAATTTCAAACACGTATTTCTCGAAATGGCAAAAACTGCACTCATGCCCCTTGTCCTCTAAGTCCCTTAATTACATTTTGAAGGTTCGATTTTATTTGCGCGTCTCATATAATCACAATACTCAATTATTATCTTTTTAGTTGGGAGTTGCAGAAGATACATACCTGGATAATGTACGAAATATGACACGGCTCTTAGTCAACAACATGCTTTTCTCTCTTGACACGCCCAACGATTTTCAGAGGTAAATTTGCTTTCGTTATAATTGATTCCGGATAGTCATGACAGGAGAATGTGGGTATCTTAGCTATGTGGGTAATTTTTTGAATGTTATTCTAAGAATAAACCTTCCTGAGAATGAAGCTCAAATAAAAGGTCTGGATGTCTTATCATGGGAATATATTCCTATAAGTAAGGTAAGGAATCCAGTCCAAAAATAACGCAGAAGAAGAAAATGGAAAAGAGGAGGGAGAGTATTAAAAATAAAAATTAAATTATTAAATTGATTTGATGTATAACACGTGCACACACAGTGTGCATTCATTGGCTGTCTGAGACATAGAATTTGCGATGAACTTGAAGGGTGAAAAAAGGTAAAACACTTCTCTCTCATGCAAAAGTTGAAGTACTTTTCACGGAAGAACAGTATCACATTCCTGATTGTACTCCTGGTTGATTTTGGCTCCAGCTTCAAGAATAGTTGCGCCAGCCAGAGTTACGGTTGAGTCAGCCGAAAGTGTGGGTGGATCAACCACAACTCTGGTTGGTGCCTTTACACTTATGTAACTATAATTTTATGGCTGGCGCCAAAATCGGCCAGGAGTATAGTTGAAATTGTGATCCTTTTTTTAAAGTGTTGAATATCATGGAATACTACAGTTTTAAGTCAATTTATCAGAGCTGTCATTAAAGTTCTGAGCTCTCAAAATGGAATGCCTCTCCTTATGGAGGGGAGGGGGGGGGGCTCCTCCATGTATGAGTGCATTATTGCATGAGTGTGATGTTTTCTGCATAAACTGAATCATTCCTACGCTTTTTTGTCTGCGTCGGCAATATTCTACCATTAGTTTCATCGTTGGATATCATGCGACGGTTTCACCTCACCTGAAGATGATAATCCTTCAAGTCCCGGTATTTATTTTCTATCGCTCAAATTTATCGATGTTAAAACGCCAGCAGCTTTCTTCCAAACCTTTAAGCTTTTCATCAAACACAAAGGGAAAAACTAATTTTGTATATCATGTTTTAGTGTTTGGGCTGTGGATCCAATCGATGTGAATGCTTTCCACACCTTTCAGGCAAACGCTATCAGTAAGTATATGCATTCTGTAGAAATTAATTTTATTATAATATATTAATTTTATTAATATAACAGCCTCGTTCTCCATAAATATGTTTAATACTTCCCTCTTAATTATTCTAATCCTTCATAAGGGGAAACTATGTTGTAAGAACTATCTGCTCAATAATTTGCTCAATGATTCCAAGAAAAGAAAACACAAATTTTGAGAAGATTTGTTTTAACTGGTTGTAACAAAATCTCAAATGATATAAGGTGCAAGACAGTCAACTTTTGGCCTAAAATTTATGTCGATTGAGCGTCGAGTCTTGCTCAAGCGTAAGACTCTTTCCTCTGCGGAGGAGAATTTCAAAAAAGTAAATCCATCGATGATGATATTATGATAGAACCTCAGTACGCATCAGTTTATTCCTAACAATAAATTCTCAGAATGTTTGCAAATTTGGAAATAAAGATCTGGCCTACTGCTCCTTGGCTGCTTTGAAAAACTGAAGTAGTTGTGTGAAACTTCGGTGAATTCTTAGGGATTTGTCTCTAAAACCTATTTCTTTCTCCTTATTTTTTACTGCAGCAAACATTATTCAATTTTTATCCACGATTAAGTGAAATGGCAGATTTAAGGGGCCTTGATAAATTTATAAGAGCAGTGAAGCAATTTTCTATGACCAAAATTCGCACCAGATATGGGCACTTAATTGCACGTGGACTCATTGAGCATGTATGTAGGATTTTCTTAACTTTCAACGAGTCCTTTACAAAGTTGTAAGTTCTGAAAGATTTCCATTTTCCAAGTGTTTAACGCGAAAAGAAAATACTCATCTATTTTTATTTTCATTTTTTCAGCGATACCGATGGGAATATTGCAGTACCCTTTCTACAATCTTGGATTAGAGTGAGTTCCATTTATTTAGACTTTTATCAAGTGCTCTTACACTGAAGCCTGTAAAGTCATTCGTGCTCAACAGCTAGTTGTTTTCGAAGTCATTCAAGTAACTAGGTCTGGAAGAGCCAAAGTTGAATGACAAAATTGAGGATTTAGAGAAACACTTTGAAATTTTTCATTCGGAAAAGAGCACCTGGATTGAAAGAAAATGTTGTACAGTAATATTTATTTCTTGAGCAACGCATGACATGATTCTTGCTCCATTAAGAGGATGATACATTCTGGCAATATGGTCGAGAGTTCACTTTTGACATTATGAGTGATCGTGTACATCTTTGAAGAGAAAACAAGTGCGACGCGTTTCAATTCACCCATTTTGCCTTTGAGTTTGCGGCTCATTTTATGAAGTCTTGAAGTATGTGTCTATTAAAGCAATCTCGCCCTGAAAAATCAGTTGTTTTAACCTTTTCCACTTTCCTTGCGATCAGAAATTATTTTAGTAAAACAAAAGTTTAGGAAACAATATTTGAAACAAAAAATTGATTAAATAAGGGTTTTCATATTATGTTCTCTCTTATGTATTAAAATAGTGTATTTATTTATATATAGAGTGTATGCATTTATAAATAGAAATTTATTCTGACTATGCTTTATTAATTAAAACAAATTAATCCCATGCTTTTATTTTCAGGGCCCTAAATTATGGAGCGATTGGGTCAATTCTTGGACATGAGCTTACTCATGGATTTGACGATACAGGTACGTGACTTTGATATTCAAAATATAAAATTATAAGAGTAAGCCCAACCTTTTAGCTCTCGATTTTACAGTTAGTGAATGATTGGAACCTATTTTGAGTGAGTTTGGTTCAATCTGAATTTTACTAATGGGAGAGAGATACTACCTAATTTTTGGCTTGAAATCACGAGGCTAGATAAAATTCTTGGCATGTATCTCTTAAAGATCAGTCATTAGCTGAATACGCCAAGTTCCTGTCAGTGGCGTGGCGCGCTTTGCGATACATCGATTGATCTGCCATTTGAATCTATGGAAAAGGATCGATGAACAAGGTGTTCGCAACGAAAATCTTGACAATCAACCCCTTTAAAAGGGGTAAATCGATAGTCGATCATTCACGCCTCGCCACTGGTTCTTGCATGCACCCTCGTGGTCAGAATCATATTCATCGAACATGCAGAATTAAAATTCAATGCCAAAAATCTTATTTTTTCCTCATTGTTCCTGCAGGTCGAAAATATGATAAGACTGGTAATAAATTACCGTGGTGGACAAACAAAACAATCAACGAGTACATGAACAAAACAGAGTGTTTTGTCGAACAATATAGTTCCTATTATCTTCCAGAGATCAACCAATCGGTAATTATTATGTTTTGTAATTTTTTAAAAAAAAATGCATGTTAGTAAAAATGTACTTCATTGTTTATCATCGTTCATACTTACAACGTATAGTTTTTTCCTAAATATCGCTTTGTATAAGCAAATGTATTTGTTGCATGAAAATCGATTTTGAGTGAATCGGTCTCAGAGAAAAACTTGCCAAGTTATGAAGCTCTACATTTTTCTTTAATTTCAGCCAGACCCTACCTCGATCTCGTGTGTGCTGGGTGTGGGTAGCCTTCTCCATCCCCTTGTCATTTGCTTGCGGCTGTCAGGGGGTGGGGATTGCCTCCCGCTCCTATCATATGCCGGCAAGTAGTTAGTAGTAAGTGGCACCAGTAGGTAGTTGCTGGAGCTAGGTTTTCTGCCCACTTTTGAAGCAAAAAAAAAAAAAAAAAAAAAAAAAAAACTTTGCAGCCCCCAAGTACTAATTGTTTTACTACAAAATTATTGATAACACCGTTGCTAATGCATACCTTGAGACAAACTTACATTGAGTGTAAAAAACGGAAGTGTATTTATGGTACAATATATTTTAAATCGTTCGTTTGGAAAAACAATATAACTATCATGTGATCCATGGAAGAGAAGCGTCGTCTAATCTTCAGAGTTGGGCGAGCAAGGAGCATAAATGCAGTTTTTTTCATGAAATTGCGGGATAGTCATGATTTCGACCAAAACTAGCCTTGAAACAAATGCTGCAAAAAATCCCTTCATTTCGTAAGCATCAAAGACTGAGTTTGAACTTCCTCGCTGCCACGACGCTTCCTGTATTTTTGAGATTCAAAACACTTACGGGCCTTGTCTTCAAACACCTCAATTCGTCGCCCCCTGACATAAAGGCGCAACTACACTTTGCAATGAACCCTGCCGTATATACAATGCAATACCTTTCCTGGCTCAACCTGGGTCCTTTTTTCAGTCAGGCTACGAATTGATGTAGAGCATAAAAATGTAACCTCTTACGATGACTTTTTCCTCGTGACCGTCTGAATTTTACGTAAAAAATGTTATGACTATGAATTTTTGCAGATCAATGGAGCGCAAACTTTAGACGAAAACATAGCCGATAATGGCGGCTTACGCGAGGCGCTGTGGGCCTACAGACATTATGTCCGCAACCATGGACAAGAACGAACTCTACCCGGACTGGGGGATTATAACCATGAACAACTCCTGTTCCTGTCCTTCGCAAATGTAAGAACCTTTCCTCATATCATCGGTACTTCTAAAAAAATAGTCATTCTTACCTTCAATTGTTGCTGAAGTATTTCAGTCACTGCTGTGAAAAAACGAAACCCCCGGCTCAAATTGTTCGCGTATCAGGCGAACAGTTCATCATGTTTAGCAAGTAACCAGTGAAATATTTGCTGAACTCCTCATTTTTAGCTTCATATATTAAATTTTAGTCTGGCGGCACAAAACTCTCCCATCTAACTGTCAAATCTACTGGTTACCTCGGGCGATCCGAATGCGATATTTTAATTGGACATCCTGTTCTCCTCTAATGTTCCTCTGCAGTGGTGTCAATAACTCAATTTTGAATTTTTGGAAGATGAGAACGTATTTCAAAGATCGACTAGGAAAGTTCGCAACCACGTATCTTGAATTGCGACGTTGCATACTTCTCGTCTTATTCCATTTTTTTAAAATGGTAGACTACTTAAAGTCCATTCTTAAAAACTGCTATAATTTTTTTCTCTATTTGAAACAAATTATGCGAAAACTATAAGGCATGATGTTGATTTTTCCTCCTTTAAAAAGTAAAATAGGCGTCGAGATGTTAAAATATCGCAACCGAGACCCGTGGTTGGGGACTTACACCATCTTTACGTGTTTTTTTCTGTGGTTGTTGAGATGTTACATCCCCTCCACCATGTAGATATGACCCTAATATTTAATTCAATACAAGTTAATAGCGCACAAAAGCGCTACAAAAGCGGCATGTTAGTTAGCCATTTATAATAGGACTTCGCTTCTTCAACGTGAAGGCGTATCACAGCCCTCCTATGAGCCCCAGAAATTATGCTGGAAGAATACGTAAAAGAGAGCTCGCGTTAAAATTCAGATACGCTCTTATATACGTTAGAAGGGAGACGATAATAGACCCGAACATCAGGTAAATCTATCGTCGTTTCCCGGACAAAGGGACGTAACTCCATTCCAAGGTTGTAAAATTGAGTGTAAAATTCGATTTCTTACAAGGGAGCACCTGAAGGATGTTGTCCAACATTTCTCTGATTTGTGCACAGACGAGATGAACAATCTGTGAAATTTTCAGTTATACTTGCCTCAGGTTTTTCAGCTAAAATTTTGATTTTCGAGAGGAAATTTGGCATCATTGAAATGTAGTTACGTTCTTCCGTGAGGGAACGACCATATGAACGTATTTATGCTAAAAGGAACTATGTGCAAGCGGAAAGATGGGGTGTGCTCGTCGTGAGCTGGATAAGAAACGATGTGAAGTGGATATAGTTCCCTTTGAGAAAATGGAAAAGCGGGATTTGGCATTAAATCAAAAGGAACTGAGCGCTAACTCGTGAGCCGTGGACATGTGACAAGAGCGTTGTGGACAAGGCTCATGAGTTAAAGCCGAGCAAGAACGACAGTTATCATTGATTTATTTATCTATTGATTTAATATATTTAAGTGCTGTTGTATGTACATCAAAATTTAAAATTGCCCAGTCCCCGACGTAAATAGCCTAGATGCTGATCGTCGTTAAATAAAACTAACTAACTAACTAACTAACTTAAATATTACTAACTATATTTCTCTATGTATATATTATTCTACCTCTCCTTCTCTATTGCTGTACCTACAACAGCACTTAAATATATTAAATCAATAGATGAAGAGAAGATATTTAATAGTTAGGTTAGGTTTGACGACTTCGTTGCCGCTGACGTCACCGGCTCTTTAAAATCCCATTTCATTCATATGGCCCTCAACTAACGAGCTCACCCCATCTTTCCACTTGCACATAGTTCCATTTAGCATGAAGCCGTCCATACAATCAATAATTTTTTTGTTTTTGCAGCTTTGGTGCGAATCCTGGACGACAACGTCTCTGAAGTGGGACATGAAGGACGTCCACTGTCCAAACCGAATCCGAGTGGCCGGGGTCCTCTCCAACTCGCCAGAGTTCTCCACCATCTGGGGCTGCCCCAAGGGCGCCAAGATGAACCCCAAGAAGCGGAAATGCCAACTCTGGTAGCCCCCGCCCCCCGCATCGGGCCCTCGCCTTATTGTACATTTTGTAAATCCCCCACGTGTAATCTTTGGTTGTACAGTGAGTGAACCTCGTTTTTCTCCCCCTCAAGGTCCTTGTAAAATGAACTCTTGTAAAAATCTAACTCATCTTTGTTTTGTTTTGTGATACGACTTAGCGATAGTTCTAGTGCAGAGACCATGTGCCTCCCCAGTGCCTAATTTTACTTAATTGCCTTCTTACGTTTGTACAGTTTTTGTTGATTAATGTAGCAATAAACCAAAACATGACTTTACGGGCTCTTTCTTTTTGTTATTTTCTGGTCTTCAAGCTGATTATTGAAAATTGATATACAAAACAATGGACAAAAAGGGAAGAAGGAGCGATCTTATTGATTGAAACGGGTGGTTGCTGTGGACTAAGGGGGACATTGATGGACTAACTGGAGTGCATTTTGCAATTTGGAGCTATACATTCTGGCTCATCTGAAAAGACACTTACGTGCATAGGAAAACGAATGGCACATACGTTGTTTTTGAAGCAGACTGGAAATTATAGTTCCTAATTGTAAAATATAGTCCAACCATGGGCTCCCTCGTGAGTTGCCGTTAGTTAGTTTATTACTTACCTGTTTCGTCTATTGAGACAACCTGATTCTACCAATAGAATCGCTGCGTCTTCTCTTTGTCGATTGTTGAATCGTTATCGAATGATCCTGATCGATAAATCCCTATTTTAACAATGCTTTTTATCGATCAAGGTCATTCGATATCGATTCGACAATCGAGCCACTGCACCTAGATTCTCAGAATAGAGTTTTTAATACAAATATTACTTCACCATGAGTTCGGTATAAAACATTTTAAGTTATTTTTCCCAATTCTTAAAATATCACTATTATTTTACATTTAAAATTTGTTTCAATATTTCAGTAGCAATAAATCAATTTTAAGATTCCCGGAACCAAATTCCCCTTTCTCGTTTGCTAAACGAAGAGGACGTAATTATACTGGGACTTTGGCAAGTGTCAGTTTGCAAATTTTATACATTGAAGAAATTTTGGGAGTTCTTAATTGAAAATTTCACGGATTCTTCTTCTGATTACACTCAATAATCAGTAGAATTTCGGTTGGAATTGCAGAGTTAAATTCTTGCTACAACTGATTTGCCAGAGTAAATTTTGAATCCATTGACTGGACTTCCATTCCTTCCGCAGGGAAACGACGGTATGCAGGAATTTATGAGGATGGCTGGCTATAGTGCAAAACCGTGCACCTCCGTTTTCAAAGTTGAAGACGGCGTCCTGTCACACTTTATTTTTGCATTGGAAAACTAATCAACGTAATTTCTTGAAACTCACTTGATTTTTTTCTCTCTATCAGCAAGTCTTATAAACAAGCTAAAACGTCGACTTGTTCCTATTGGAAGAAATTAGATAGGAGCGGAAATTTTGAGATACCACAATGGACATACGTCATTCCGCACTTTAGGCATCTAAGAGTGGAAGTAAAAGGATATAAAAAAGCTAGATTGGACTTGGTTAATTGAATTTGAAACGTTTTATTTGTACACCACGAGTCACCAAAATTAAACAGATGTTACAGGCAATCTACGAAACATGACCTGAAGATCAAAATCACAATCGCTGTTGGTATTGATAATCACCACGGACCGCACTTTAAGAGCGTCCGTTGCATCGCCTCGGTGTCGGCTTAAAAGCCACGTATCGCCAACGGAATTCCATTTGCGTTACGCGTTTTTTGCTTAAAGAGTGAAGACTCGGTGGCATCGTCCACGATAGAGTGGCTTAGGCGAAAGAGTGGTACTCGGCGTAGGAGCCAGGGGCGGAGTGGACGACCTTGGTGTGAGGGGCGGCAACGGGGACAGCGGCGGGTGCTGCAGCGACGTAGGCGGCAGGAGCGGCGGCGACGTAGGCGGCAGGGGCGGCAGCGTAGGTAGCGTAGGCGGCGGGAGCGTAGGCGGCGGAGGCGTAGGCGGCCGGGGCGTAGCCGTAGGCGGCGTCGCTGAAGAAGATGGCCCGCTTGTCTCTGACCTGCTCGGCGGATTCCTGTCCGAAGACGGAGAAGACAGCCACGACGGCGAAGACAAAGGCGACCTGCAGAGGAAAAGCGAGAGGGTTTAACGGTGAGTCAAAATCAGAGGCGGATCCAGCAATGGAGATGTTGCATGTGTGGGGAATTTGCGATTTGACTGTTGACACTTATGTAAAAGTTCGCGAGGAACACGATGTTGCCACTGGTTTTCTCTGAAATCAACTCCCAAGCTCAAAAAAAGCTCACAAGTCGAGGCCAGAATGGAGGAGGTATCCCACGCTATCCTGAGAGTCCACCTCTACATCAAGACAAACTCTCCATGCAAAGATTGGGAGCAAATAAATTGACAGAGCTGCCACTTTATTTGGGGAATCTAAAACTGAAAACACGGCACCACTGCTGATGTATTCGCTCCCTATCTTTGCATGGAGAGTTTGTCTTTAGTCTGGTAGCCTTTAAATTTAACCACTAGAAAGGAAATTTAATTTTTTCAAAAATCGACCTAAATAATGATCTGAGAAAACTTCACGAGTCGAAAATCATTAGAGTCGCTTCATGCGATTCTCAATTTGACATTTTTAAAACGTAAGCTCTGAGATGATAATACTCTCATGTTAGCTGTTGAGCGACCTGCTGAGCAATTTCGTTTGGCAAACTTTGCGATGTTGAGAGCCTTCTTTGAAGGCAAACTTGCGCAGTTCCTAAAAATTTAGATATATTTTTGAAAACTCATAATTAAATAGCTTAAATAGAGAATTAAAAGTTTAAAAAATCAAATGTTTGAATGCGCACAAATGATGATTGCTGAATGCAAACGAGTTTAAAGAAAAGCAATTTTGACAATATGAAGTGAACTTACTTGGAATTTCATGGTGGTTTTGGGTTGGTTGTTGGTGGCTGCTGTTAGCAAATCAGAGACACAAAAGCGATTGATGCTCTTGGTTCGGATGCGAGCACTTTTATACAAGCCGACACTTTCCATCATTAAAAGTAAAACAACTGAAAAACACTCAGAGGGCTATTATCTAAACACCGCAGGCGATACCTTAATGAATGTTTACTCTAATCTAATTTCCGATTTGTGTGAAGTGATTTAATTCAAATTAGTTCTCCAAGCGGACATCCGAATCAGCACGTAACGACTTGAACGTGAATCTCCTAAACCTCTTCCTGACAGCTCAGTCAGTCGAATTCACTGTGCATCTCTTACAATTTTACCGTACGGCAATTTCATTTTCCACAAACTCTCAATTTTGTTTCTCATTCATGTGCAATTTACTCGTGTTGATAAAACACCAACTTGGTCGTCCAGAAAAGATGATATAAAAACAACTTAAAATGGGAATGAGGCCGCAATAATGAAAAAATACAATAAAAAGAAAAACCCGGGACGTTTCGCGGTATTCCACCCGCATTTTCAATCTAAAAAAAAAAGAAAATTAAAAAGAAACACACTATGACAGCGGTAAGGCTCACAGTGTGTTTCTTTTTATTTTCTTCTTTTTTGTCGGTTGAAAATTCGCGAGTAACACCGCAAAACGTCTCGGGCTTTTTATTTTATGTTTGTATCTGAGCGGCCTTAGTTCCATTTAAGTCGTTTTTGTATTACTAGCGTTGTATTGTAGATTTATTGAAAAACCAAAGACAGGAAGAAGGAACACGTAATAATCGTAAATTTACCTTTTCGATCTTACTTTTCTCATAAACTGAATTTCTTTCACGCAATAATGTCATTAATTAGTGATATTTATTGCGTTTAAGGAGTCAATAAATATCCAAAATTTGCAGATTGCACGTAGCGCAGTGACCCCGCGAAAATTTAAATTAATTTTAAATTATAATAAAAGACGAGTCACTTTTTTGTAGGATTAGGTCATAATGAAAAATGATCTGATTTCAAAATATACCCATACATTTCTTTGTTTGGAAGGTTTCAGGACATTTTGTCAACGATTTTTTGTCCGCGCACCTAGTAGTAGTAAGTAAAATAAGCAAAAGTGACTTGGTCCAAGCGTTATATTTTAGTCGGTATGTAAAATTATATTGACAATATGGAAATCAGAAATTGAGAGAGGAGGAGATGTTGTTATAGTTGCTCATTTTCTAAATGAAATGTTATTGCTTTCTCCTCTTGAATCATCTTTTTAGATTGCCATTAATGAATATTTGGTTTTATTTCTATCCTTAAAATATTCGATGTACAATATACCTTATATATGTATAAGTACTTTTTTTTATTTTTTTAATTTTTTTCTTGACGAAATTATTACTTCATTTTGAAAACATGCATATTTTTAAAACGTGGCAAATATTTTTAAAACCTTTTTCAAGCGATATTAATCTCAATCAGCCACAGTTGTGCCAACAGAAACTGCAAAAATGAATAAAAGAGGGGAAAAAACCAAGAAGCACTCAACCTTTAGTTTTAATCAATTTGCACATCGATTTTTTAGAGTCAAAAACGTCAAATTTAGAGGTTCGGTTGCGCGTACACCTCGCTGCAGCACAATAAAAGCACAAAATGTAAAAGAAAAAATTGAACTGCTTTGGAAATCATTAAATTTGACACGGAACCACCAATATTTAAAAAGAACACATTATATCATTATTCTCCTTTGATAAATTGATACATATTTTTTTCCCATTGATTTTAAATGAGAATGATCAATGCAGAGTGTGCAAACATTTCAAAATCATGAGTTAAAAAACGCTGACTGTGCGAGTATAAATATGAAAGCCTAATAGAGCGGAGCGGCGCGGCGTGCTGCCAGCGCGAGAGACTCATTGGCGCCTACAAACCTAAGTGGATACGTCACGCATTGCACAATGCTTGAAGTATCCACTTAGGTTTGTAGGCGCCAATGCGCGTTCCACGCTCGCCGCCCGCCCGCCGTGTGGCGGCGCCTGAAGCAACTATTTCACAACAGAGGTGTTGCACAGTATTATACGAAATTGAACGTATTAAGAATGACAGGCATCCTTTAAAAGTATAGATCTTTCCTCGCAAAATAAATCAAGATACGTATCGTACACAGGAAAAATCTGAGATCCTTTAGCTGAGCAAATATAGAGGTTTATCCTGTTCAGGTATAACAAGGTGGGAACATCTTGAAAGATACTTAAGTCCTGTTACACCAAAGAGGTGTAGAGAGTTTTAGTGAATTTTGACTCATGAAATTGACGCTCTCCCATTTTTACCAAAACTCTCAACTATATATTATTCTCCGTTGGACTAAACAGACAAAACAAAAAAACAAGCAAATCCTCTTCCTTCCAAGACATTTAACATTTTCATCCAAAAACGTCGTGATCAATTGTCGTTTGTATTTACATGGTGGGCCAATTAACTTTGGGTCTCAACTGGCACGTGGACCAAAACTCTCGCGCCGAAAAAACGCGTGGGCGTAAATTACTGGAGAAAACAGGTGCGGGGAAAAAAAATCGTTGACGAAATGTCCTATAACCGTTTGGAATATTGTTTTATAACCTTGAAAGGTCTTGCACCACCTCTCTTATTAAATTAGTCCATCTCTTTCTTCACACCCTGAACCTGTAACTTCGAGCTATTCATGAAAGAGTATGAATGAGTTTAAAAGAATATTCAGAAGGGTAGGATGGGAAGAAAGATAAGAGAAGAAAACCGACGCGCAAAATTAAAATAGCTCGTCTCTTCGCGATTCTCAGCCAATATTTGCATATTTTTTATGCATCTATAAGGGGTGGATTTCTCCAGCGATGGGCTCATAAATAATTTCTAGTGGGCAATCGTTATGCGAGCATGGATACTTATCATCGCTATGAAAGACATAGGCTCCGATTTTACAACGAACCAAGGAGAAAAGCGAGACAGTAATTTTCCTTATAATTTTCTGTCTTTGCTATAGAAAAGCCGCGTGTTCAATATTTTCCCCCTCAAAGACTCGATATCCACTCTTGTAAAAGAGCATATTAAATGAGCACCAATTTTTACTCACACAGCTTAACACGGCACTTAAGCGGCTTAACCGGTAAGTATACATTTTGATGAACAGAAGATACATTTTGCTCGACCTAAAAACGGATCTCAACACATGAAAAGAGGGTTATTTTTTATTTTTCCATGTTTTCTCTAATTCGTTTCTAGTGAACGAAAAATATCAACTTTGAAAATTCTTGAATGTCTATTGTGGACGTAAGCCCGAAACTTCAGCTTTCACTTGTCAACGGTAGCATTTACAAAATTTATAGTGATTGTGGTATTTGAAAGCCTCTGCTATTTTATTTCTCCAATGGAAAACGGCACCAATCATAGAAATTTTTACCAAACATTCCTTACGCTGAGGGGACAAGTAGGGAATTTTTGAGGAACGACGTTAAAGAGTTTTCTACAGAAAAAATGAAAAGTGATCGGAAATCTGCGCAGCGACAAAACAAGATACATGAGTTAAACATTTCACAGTTATGTCGTGTTTTCAACGTATTTTCTCCCACGGCGAAAATGAAATTATGAAATTATACCACTCGGTGCCTTTATGTTTAAGGTAATGTATGTTCAAATGCTTAAGTCTTCATTAAGTAATCCCCATTCAAAGCCTTTAGAAAATCTCGTTTTCTAGCCTTGATTCCGAAGAAATCGACGATGGAAGTGCCAAACCCCGTATCTTACTTCGCGACGTTGTAAATTTTCTGTCACATTTTACTCTTTTAAAGAGTATCGTTGTTTTCCACAAAATTTCTTTTGGTATTTTTCGTTCCCTCGACATTATTCGCTGACAGTTCTTCGTAAAAAAGGTGATATTTTTTTCTTTCATTTCTAAAATGAAATATGATTTAAGTGCGATTCGTCATTTGCTAGTTTTACCGTCAAAATAAATAGATACACGGATCAACTATGAGAAGAGTCTGAAAGAAAGATGCAATTCATTTCGATGGCCAAAGTGCAAAACCACGTACCTCCTTTTCTGACGTCACAGCGACACCCTCTCATGCTCCATGATTTCCTTGAAAAACTAGTCAACAATATCCACGGAAACTTCCTTAATTTTTCTTTTTTACCAGCAGAATATTCTGTAAAAATTTCAAGCTATAAAGGTGGCTTATTTCTCCTCGAGAAAGTAAAATAAAAGTGGGCATTTTGAAATGGCGCACCGAAATTACGTGGTTTCGCATTTTAGCCGTCGATTTATCAACTTGAGGACTTTTGAGCGTGCGGAAAAATCACAAATGTAATGAACAAAATATAATCAATTTATTTTCGACTTAACCAATAACTTATAGGAGAGTGTATTTTGCAGTTTTGATGCCACTCTCCTAAGTCTATTTACAATAATTACAATTGAGTAGAGAGCGGCAAGCATGAGGAGTAGAACGTCAATGGAATAGTACTGGATGACGCTCATGTCTTTGGCAGGGGACTGTAGGTGGTAGGCGCCCCTGTGTCTGAGGACATACTCCGTCCAGAAAATGGCCGTGTCCATCGGGGTCTCCGCCTGGTCTCGCAGCAGGTTCGACCTCTTTTGAGCTTGCTCTAGGAACCTAAGAAAAGAGAAATTTACTATGTTCAATCGCCACGGCACACAATGGGATTGAGTCAATGAGAGAAGTCGGAAGAGATTTGGAAACTTTAAAAACTTTTAACTCCGTAAATACGAAACTTTAAGTTTTAAAAGTGGCACCATTGGTTTTCTCGTGAAATTTTCTATTAGATAGGTACAACCTTTAAATTTAGAATGTGACGAAATAAACATCGAAATTTGCAATTTTCGGAAAAGAACTCATGTCCGACCTCTCCCATTGATTCAGTCCATTGTGCGGCAATGCAAGAAAAACACGCAGGTGAGATTTTGAGATTCTGATGAACCTAAAGATAATATCGTCGTTTCCCGGACGAAGGAACGGAACTCCATTCAAAGGTTGCAAAACTGAACAAAAAAAAATCAAATTTTTTCCAAGGAGGTATTTGTGCGCAATTTTTGTTTGAAATTGTTCTCATTTGTGCATGAAGTCAGAAGAAAAACCAGGAAAATTTTCAGTTGGGAATCCCTAAGATTCGTGGTGTAAAAATAGTGTTGCACCAAACAGCATCTCTCTTTGAGGGGAAACTGTGCGTATACGAGCTTTTTCCCTCTGCATTGAGATTTTCAGCTTTATGCTGAATTTTTAACGCATGTTGGCAAAAAGCTCCAACATACTGTCTTACGACCCGTGCGTACACAACAATCAGTTTATGTTAAATAAATTGTAGTCGTTACCTAGGATTTGAAACAATGGAGCTGATGGCGTTGAGTAGTTTATGTTCAGTCAGTGATCTGAGTTCGAGTCTGTAGCCGTATCCGTCTCGAACCGCCTTCTCGGCGTTTGCATCGTGATCACAGAAAACTGGTAAGACGACCACAGGCACCCCGTGATAAATCGTCTCAAACAAACTCAAGAGTCCTCCGTGCGTCACAAATCCTCGAATCTTCTCATGACCTGAAAAGTAAAAGTATTTCTAACTCTTTAAATTGTTTCATTTTTTTTATTGTTTCATTTCTTTTTATTTTAATTTTTGTCAGGAATTGAAAATTATTTAGGTGGGTGTGATGGATCTACAGCCCTTGCGCTGTAGCAATTTGATAGACGATCGTTTTGTTGTTAAGTTTAAAGCGCTGATACACTGCGGGGTGGTTTTTGCCAACGAATCTGAAAACAGAGTCTGAACATAAGGAAATTCTTAATTTTTAGATCTTATCTTAGAGATCAAACCATTTCAATCTGCTGTTAAAATAAAAAAAAGAACAAAGAATGGAAGGAACAAAAACCCAAGACAACAGTGGATCTTTACATTTCCAGCTTGATAAAAATTTAAGTGTCACATATATGAAAGGTTCTCCAGCCATTTTTACGCCGGCAATAAATGCATTTTTTGAGCATACATCCAATGGTTCAGAAAATTTATTTCGGTAGAAAACAAGAATGTCTATTTGGCTACAATAAAAAAACAAGAATTTCTAAATGTCTGTGTTCAAAATTAACCCGTTTCAAAGAGCCTCTGAGCAAATTCCATGTGGAGAACCGACTCGACGAGCTTGTACTTGCAGGTAACGCAAATTGCCTATCCGCAATTTGAAGGCGTTTTAAGACCGCACTTCTTTCGTCACAAGCAACGTTTATTTGATGTCGTCGTTTTTGCGGTGTTCAGGAATCTCCGCTCCCATATTTCACTTTTTTGAAGGAGAAAAAATCAACATCATTTCTTGAAATTTTCATAGACATTTTTTCTATAACCACGAGAAAAAAATCACAACATCTTTACGTAATTGACGTTGAGTAGTTTTCCAAAAAAAGAAATTAAGTATGGCAGAAAGTCTGCAAAATTTCACCGTCACATAAATGAATCGAGTCAATTAGAGAGATAGGACATGGAATTTTTACTAAAACTCCAAATTTCGATGTTTGTTTTGTCACATTTTAAATCTCAAGGGGTGCTTTATGAAGAAAATTTTACGAGAAAACCAATGAAACCACTTTTAGAAGCTCAAAGTTTTGTATAAACGAAGTTATTAGCGTTTGAAGTTACAAAATCTTGCCTGACCTTTCCTATTAACTCGATCCACCGTGCGTCGGTATGGAGATTATTTCCGAATGACAATTGGAAAATTGGGGCAATTAATCCCTTGGATCACCGTAAAACTCTGTGAAAAAATGAGCACACGAGAAGTCAAAAATCACAATCCGCGCTATTAAACTCACCCAGTAAGTCTTGTTGCGGAAACCATCGACTTTGCATGACATTTATCGGTAGCAGTTCATTGGCTATGGCATCGTCCCACTTCCAGAGGACTTGGTATGGAAGTCTCGAGAAGACCGACAAGAATAACTTCCTCAGGTGAATAGGCGTGTTGGCTGTCTGAACAGATGAGCCCATACTCACGTAAATGAACCCCGCGTTGCCTCCTCGTTGAATGAAGTCCTCTATATTCTGCAAAAATGGAAACCTTCAATAAGTAATTGCAAATCTCAAATTGACTCGGTATTAGTCAGTATTAGTCTTAAAAGAGAATTTGAAGGTGTCTAAAATGTGATAAAATTCGTGTTTAAGTGGAAGCTATTGAGTGAATTGAACACGAGAATACCCTTCGTCCATGAATTGAACAACTATTGCAGGAGATATGACAAAATGATCTAATCTGCCAAAATACGTACGTTTAAATGGAAAATACCGCCAGATGACGTCACTAGGCGGTGCATTTTTTCACTTTTAAATCTATTTTTATACTATTTCCCACATCAGAAAACAATTATAATAAATGCTTTGAATTCAGCTCTTAAAGCTCTTTCATATGAAGAAATAAAAAAAAAATGCATGCAAATTCTCCATTCTCATCGATTCACGATCCGCACTTTAAAACAATACATCTCGATGTGCCCACTAAGTGATAATTTAAGCGTTATTAGCCATCATTGGCGGATCCAGCAAATTGGCAACATTGTCTTTTCTCCATTTAAACCTATTGAAATGTATCGATTCTTGGAGTGGCAAGGTGCTCCGAAAAGAATCGATTCTTCAGCATAGGTTTAAATGGAGGAAATCCAGGGTTGTGGAATTGCTGGATCCGTCTCTGTTAATCATGCTCTCATATAAACATTTTATACGAGACATGCTGATTATTTTGAAACTGTTAAAAATCAACTGATGGTAAAATCGCGTTTTTTCACCCTATGGTGTCACTAAGCATCAAACCTCATCATATACAACGCTTTTCATCACCACGTTTTCATATTAGAAAAATAATTTCATATAAAGTACTGCGAAACGCATAAAACCTGGGGCGCGAAACGCTTTAGAGAGTCAGACCGCGAAGCGCCTTAGAGGGTAGGACCGCGAAGCGGTCAGGGGACGTGGCCTCCTACTCGGAAAAAAAATTGTCAAAAATACCGTGAACTCGGCTTATGAAATATACTCTCGCATAGCAATACAAATTCCTCGCGCAAATTGTCCGATGCGTGACTTTAAAACGCATGTCAACAATAAATTTAATGGTTAAATTCGCAAAAGGCATATTTTGATGCCAGAATTTCAAGTTTTCACTCATTTTATCAAAAAATAATCAACTTTCAGTTATTTTAAAAAAGGTTCCTTAAATTTTTTTCAACCGCTCACTTACAGAGAGTTTACAGGGGAAGTTTTGTATACGTGTTTTTTTTCTTCTCTTTTTTCCCACGAATCACGATCAGAGATTTTGGACCGTTTTAATGCTTGGATACCTATACTTCGGCTTTCGCATTCCCATTAACTTTTACTCCACTATCGATGGCAGTGACAAAGCGTGAATGATCGATTATCAGCAGCTCCCCATTTGAATCTGTGGTACAAAATCGATTATTAAGGTGTTAGTCGCGAACAACCTATCTATCGATCCTTTTTCATAGGCTTTAATCACAGATCAATCGATACATCGCAAAGTACGCCAGGTTGGTCGGAGGAGGATCCGCGGTTATTTTATGGATAAAAGCAAAACATATGTCAGATTGCACACTCTGAAGCAACTACTATTTGAATGTAAGCTCAAATGCATGTAACCACTTGATTGTTTAGTAGAGAATGTCAAACATTGGTGAAAAATCACTATTTTTGTGAGGAAATCGAATCGAAATAAGAAAGTTTACCGATAGATTTGACAGACACAGACGAGAGAACATCAAGTCGTAAGGCCACGCCGACGATTGAGTAATTTTCTTCCGTGGCCAGGAAGAATGTCGTATGAACCCTCAGGCGTTGTCGAATTTCTTTAATTAAAAAACGAATTTTCAGAAAAACTTGTGAAGGGTATTCTTTCAATTTTATAGAGAATTTTATTCGCAATTTAATCTGTTTTTCCCAAAAACTCGCGGGACAATTAGTAATAATTTCTCTCAAAAATGAACTTTTCATCGGGGGCAATTTAGCAACGCTCGAATGTTATTACAACGTTTTATCTTAGCAGGGCAATATTTTGGTCCACAATGGCCCATAATATATCGTCAGGGGTATGCGCGCCGACTTGATGAGCTACGGTCACGTACGGAGTATTTCAGTTTCAGAAGTGGACGCATATCGATCAAACGAAACTATGTGCATTATGACTTGAGCCCTGTTACGCATATATTCTTACGGGTCTCGGGGCTCATGTCTTGATGCGCGCAGTTCCGTTTGACAGAAATACGTCCAAATGACGATGCATTTTCGAAGGGTCGATTGGGAAATCGACGCGACGCAGCTTGCGACATCGACGATATTCCATGTATCGGTTATCAATTCGCCATATGTTAAATGATTGTTACGTGGGGTAATCACGCTAGAGGAACATCTGTCGATGCAACTGAAGGATGGTTCATAGTCAAAACTGAGCAGGTAATCACGCGCTCGTGATGTTACATTGAAAACGTCTTCTCTGCTCTTTCAAACTGAAATTTTTTTGGTCGTATGAACTGCGCACGCTAATATTTCGGTTTCATATGATACGGAAATGGTATTCTTCAAAATGACTGCATTTTGGGTCGTTTATAGATTTCTGCAAATTGATATTCCGGAAACTCATACATGTTTCGCTTCATAAGAGCACAACAAAACTCCGTATGAAGATCAAATTTCACTCCGCATTCAAAGCGATTGAATTATTTTGGTGCAATGAATACTCCACAGTGAAGTATATTCGAAATACCCCAAAATTTTTGGTCGTGAACAAGTCTGTTGAAGAGTGACATCAGCACATTTTTTTTCACTTAAAGGTGTATAGTTGTACAGGCAAAGGGTACTCCAGCTTAGTGTGACTTTCAGTTCTTTTTCAGGTACATGATGAATTCTCAGGATTATGCACCGAGTGATAGGCCATCAAAATGCTACTAAAAATGCTACGGTATCACTTTGAGGCGATTCGTCTTGGATTTTGGTGCGGTTGACCTGGCTTGCAATACATTGTATCGAATCCAGTAAGTCAATGATCTCAACAGATCATGAATTTTTAGACCAAGATAAACGATGGCTGAAGCTTTCAAGAATCATTCGGAGCAAAAAATTGGCAAATTCACAGAAATGAAAGCAGAATTTTTTTTTCGAAAAAACCTTGCATTCGGTTCAGAATTCGACCTCTGTTGAAATGTGAGCTTGTTTGCCAAATAGAATACTGCCTTCATATTTCTGTATTTTGCAATTTTTGTAGGTTGAGAATGATTCTGTAAGCTCAAGCTCATAGGGTCTATCGTCCTCTTATGCGTTGAAAGTTCAAAATCTGCCCTGATCTTTTACTTAATTGATGCAGTATATCGCATGCCATTTTCACTACACCAGAATCCGGGACCTATGATTCACCTTAAGACATACGAGCGTGGTTCAAGCCTTCTCGAGAAGTTAACTTGGCTGAGCGAGGGAGGGCATTCCCCTCGACAAAATTTTCAAGCTGGAGCATCGAAAGAGGATTGGATCGAAGGGATTCTTTTCCCACAGCCCACCAGTTAAGCAGGGTTTGTCTCATTCGCTTCACAGGAATAAAATAAGTAATCTTAATCCCTCCACTGAAAATTTCATTTATCTCAATTGGATGAATGTTGGAAGCTGAGCCTGCTCCTACCTCCTGCCTCCTAAAATTGGTTTCCTAATCGCTTGAATTAAAACAAACAAAAGAAGGGACCTGGTTCCATTCTTGGGAGTGATAAGCACAAACGGAGAATGGACGTGATTACATTCAATTTTTCGATCCGATTTCGGTTCTCGATCTAATTCTACCTTGTTTCACGCTGCATAATGTTCGTTTTTCACTGAAAAAAAGAGCTCAAATTTATCCAAAATTGGACGTATTTCTGCGAAACGGAGCTACGTGCATTAACTCATGAGCCCTTAAACACATAAGAATATATGTATAACAGGGCTCACGTCATAATGCACATAGTTCCGTTTGACAGAAATAGTCTAATTGATCTAAAAAACATATGCATGGGTCATTTGCGTGGCTAGTCATAGAATTGCTCTTCGTAAGTTGATATTATAGAATAGCGAAAAGCTAAAACGATCTGCATGAACTTTTCTCCTTCCGATGTTATCAGTGAAAAATTAAAATTGAATGCGCATTAACTAATTTCCTAGGTAGAACACGAACACTGATTTTAGGTGCTGCAACTGCCGCACAGTAAGAAAGAGTCACTGTTAAAAATCCCGGCGCGAAATTCACGCTTACTGATTTTCAGTTGCTATTTTGACCACTTGTTACTCTGAGTGCATGGATCCGGCGCAAAATAAGTTCGGCGCGAAAGTCGCGCTATGCTGGGAGTGAAAATCTAATGGTTCAGTTACACGATCAAATTGAGCCATCAAATTGGGCCTCTCATTGGTCGCATCCTCACCTCAGGTCTTTTTCCACCAATCAGAGCTTCAGTTTGATGGCTCAATTTGATTGTGTAACGGAACCTTAACAGGCAAATGTCAAACGGAACTGTCTCAGCATGAATTGGACGTATTTCTGTCAAACGGAACTAAGCGCCATCGGAGGTGGAAGGTAGAGGGGGGCTTGGATTGGCGGCGGAATCGGGCGTCGGGCTCATTCCGTCCTATACTCGCAATGCTTTTTCATGGCGCTTAGTTCCGTTTGACAGAAAGCGCTATCCGGCATTCCAAATTCCTCAAAAGGAACTCAATTTGGCGCTTAGTTCCGTTTGACAGAAATACGTCCAATTAGAACCCGAATCGCGGCTGTGAGAAGCGAGTGCGCAACCACTTTGCTATTCGATGCTAGTATCAGGAGTACCTAAATACACGCTACTTGAGGGAGCTCAACTGATTCGTCCGTCGGTGGTGATATTCATGCTCTGATCTATTCACTCAGAGTGCGGCGCGATATTCGCGCTGGATTTTTTTTTCTCGCCGGCTAATCACCCAGAGTAAATTATTGATGTTTAACAGTGTAGCTGATAATTTGTGTCAACATGAGAAGTGCGGAGCCCAAAGTAACCTAACTGTGTGGTAGTTTGTGATTAGATTTTCTTTGTACTTGTATCCTCATTGGTCCAATGCGCTAGCCACTTACAATTCCCAATCTCTATGTTTCATCGAGAGAAACAGGTGTACATTAGTTCAGCAGGGCACTATTTCTTTCCGGTTAGAAATTGACAAAAAAAGGGCGGCACTTGACTTGAAAGCACTGTTTTTATTAGCTCTCTAGAGGGATATTGACACGTACTGTTGTCTTGTCTGAAACAACGTCATTTTTTGGGCACTTGCGGCTTTCTCATGTCTCGTTTTCTTGAAAATAAGATGAATTTTGCTGTTTTTGCTATTCCAGCGATTTCATCTAATAGATTGGACGAATTCTGAAGGAAACTCGATTTCTAAAATTTGAGACTTGCTGCTCTCTTCGCTACACTGAAAAAAAAATCTCGGTGTATTTACTAAGAAAAGGGTAAAATTACCAATAATTCAGGGTTCTATTTGATCCCAGTTTTTTCTTGGTAAAATTACCATTTATGGAATTGGTAATTTTACCGAGAAATCTCGGTAAAATTATTGAACTTTCTCGGTAATTTTACTGGACCTTGGTAAAAACGCCAATATTTTTTATCGACTGTGGTAGAATTACCGAGATAAAATGGCAAAGTTACCGGGAATTGATTACCAATAAAAGTGGTATTCTTACCTGAAAAAAACAGTAAAAATACCGGTTTTTAGGTGAGCTTACCAGTCTGTCTTGGTAAAATTACCAATAATTGGTAAAAAAAAAGTGAGATGGTAAAGGTATCAACGGCGACCTTGGTAAAAACGCCGAGAATTTGTTTTCAGTGTATCACGGCAGTATAAAGCGAAGTCATTTTTTGCTTGGAGTAAGGGCGGCAACGCGGGAAGGTGAAGCCGTTGGAAGTGTTGGTTGCGTGCTGGAAGTGGACCAATTTGGGAGGCTGCGACTGTTACGCTTCGAGATGTGTCCACGCGAGCCATTACATAAAGTGAAGCGCATTGCACGCGGCGAGTGGCGAGTGGCGAGTGGCAAGTGCCGCGGTCCTGAGTACTCTCGTCAGTGCGGTCGCGCCGCGCCGAAGCGACCGGACTCCCCGAGCAGATGACCACGAGAGCTACACGAGTAGTCTTCTTCGAGGTGAAGACTCAACCGAGTTGCCAAGTCCAAGAATTCCGGCCATGGTAACATTATCAGGTAGCCAGATACTATACTTTGAAAGGTTCCACACTGAAAAAAAATTCTCTGTGTTTTACCAAGGTCCGTTGGTACCTTTGCCATCTCACTTTTTTTACCAATTATTGGTAATTTTACCAAGACAGACTGGTAAGCTTTCCTGGTGGAAAGTGGAAAAAACCGGTATTTTCACTGGTTTTTTCAGGTAAGAATACCAATTTTATTGGTTATCAATTCCCGGTAACTTTACCATTTTATCTCGGTAATTCTACCACAGTCGATAAAAAATACTGTCGTTTTTACCAAGGTCCGGTAAAATTACCAAGAAAGTTCAATAATTTTTGCAAGAAAAAATTGGGATCAAATACAACCCTGAATTCTTGGTAATTTTACCCCTTTCTTAGTAAATACACTGAGATTTTTTTTTTCAGTGCGAGATACTATTACTTTGAAAGGTTCCACTGTGTTACACTGGGTACCACTGATGTCGTGCTTAGGCAAAACAACGTAAGAACCTTCAGGCGTTGCCAAATTGCCCTGGATAAAACAAACATTTTTAGGGAAATCCGTGAATACTTTTCATCCAATTTTTCAGGAGGTTTTAATCGCGATCAGAATTTAATTATCTGAAAATTTTAAGAGAAAATATCCATAACTTTCCCTAAAAATCAATATTTTATTGGAGGAAATTTAGCAACTTTTGAGTGCACTGAGACCCTTCAAAGTATAGTATAGTGCAGTTTTTGTGTCGTTTTAAAAATGTTGACCGCGATCACGAATGCGCTCAGACCTCTACTCTCAACATACCTAAAGATGGCATGGAAGCCGAAATGATCATAAATTAGCACTTACCTACGCTAAAAAAATACAAATCAGGAAAACAAGGTAAACCATCATCTAATAAGCATAATGAATCCTGATCTGGCTAAAATTTCACAACGTTTAACAGCAGGTATACTAAATTTTCCAATCAGGAACTATAAAATTTCAGTCTCATCCATGAAATGTCTTATCTGCATAGGGATACTTAAAGGGCATATGCTGTTTCCAACATGAGCAAGATATTGTAGCACCTAATCGTAAAATGCAGTGCGTTTGTGAAAGCGTGTGGTGGAGTCAGTGCCATTCGTTAGGTATGGTTACGATAGGCAGCTAAAGCAACCTCCTGGTAAAGTGGAAAGTATCAACGGAACCTGAAGGCGCTTTATGCCGGGTTCCCGATTTTGACGTCCTATATCAATGAAATCTTTACTCTATCGATGAGAATTATTGCTTTTTGACGAGTTTAGCGCTTCAGCCACTTAAACATTTCTGGCGATTTCGGATTGCGTGTGACACGTGTACCACGGTTATTTTGATAAGGTCCACTGGTTATTAATCGAAGTGATATTACTACATATGTATATTGTATAGGAAACTTTGCACCCAGGATCGATACCCATTATCGTCGCTCCTCTGACGTAAAGACGTATCTCAATTTCCTCTAGAGCCCTTTTTAAAACACGAATTCATGCATTTTAGGACTAATTCGGAAATCGAGATACGCCTATATTGCCGTGCTAAGGAAGAACGCCGTACGAGTCCTTAGACGTTACCAAGTTTTCTTAAATAAAAATCGAATCTTTCAGGAAAATTGTGAATATTTTTGTCCCAAAAGTTTCAGACGATTTTGTCGGCAGTTCAATCTAAAATATCAGACAATCCCAAGGAAAAATATGCATGCATGTCGTCAAAAATACATTTTTATCAAGGGAAAGGCAACTCTCGGATATCCATACGGCGTTCTTCCTTGGCACGGCAGTATACGGCCTTGTCTCCACAGGCCGTTTCACGGGATTTGTCCCTGGAAAAAATCCCACTTACGAAGTTGGGAAAAATATTGAGTTAGTCAATATTTTTCCCAGTATCAAAAATGGTCCATGTACCTCTAGGACCCACTGAGAGAGGAAGAAGAAGCGAAAACGAATTGTGCGATATTTTGTTGATTACTCCATTGTTAATTTAGTTTAGTTAAAATAATGTGTATTATTGTCAATTGAGTGCAATTAGTATTTTAATCCGGTTAAATATTCTACTTTAACTAATTTATATTACTGCGCAAACTCGTCGCAGGACCGCATGAGCCTCGTCCCGTGGAGACGGTAACTAGGAAAAATCCCAGAAGTTTCATTCCTGCGCTTCGAACTAGAGACAAATCCCATGAAATCGTCCCGTGAAGACAAGGCCTCAGTCTGAGGAGCGACGAGGGTGATTTGTCGTGACCTACCTTCGGCAAGGGTTTTGAAGGTCGGCAGTGGATGCATGCGACCTCGGCGACATTGGGGAGGTAAGGGCGCGGGTAGGTCATGGACGAGTGCCCGTTCTGGAGGATGAAGCTCACGTTCTTGGAGATCTCGTAGGCGGACGGGGTCCCCGGGTGGATGTGAGTCCGGAGCACTCCGTTCAAGAACCATCGGACCATGATCCAGTGCAGCATCCCGCACGCCACGTGCAGCGCCGCATTGTGCACCTGCTCAAAAATATAGAAGAAAACGTCTTTATAGCCGGAAAAAATACGATGGTCATCACTGTCGTGCTAAGGATGAACGCCGAATGAACCTTCTTTAGTTGCCAAATTCCCTTAGAGTGATTACGAATTTTCAGGAAAACTCGTAAATAGCATATCCGTTAAATTTTTCAGAGAATTTCCTTTGTAATAAAATCTAAATTATCTGAAAATTTTAAAATAAAATGGACGTATTTCTGCCAAACGGAACAATGTGCATCGTGACGTGAGCCCTGTTATGGTTATATTCTTATGGGTCTCAGGGCTCATGTCTCAGTGCACATAGTTCTGTTTGGCAGAATGCATCCAAATATTCATTACTCTCCTAAAAAATACACATTTCATCAGAGGAAATTTTTCAAATCTTAAATGTTCATACACGACGTTTTCCCTTGTCACAGCAGAACACTGCCGTATTAAGGAAGAACGCCGTACAAGCCTTTAAAATCCATTTTATTGGAAAAGTTGTAAATATTTTTCTTCAAATTTTCAGACAATTTATTTTTACAAATCAATCTAAAATATCTAAAAATTTCAAGAAAAATTATGCTTAACTCTATTCCAATATGAATTTTTTATCAGAGGGAATTTGACAACATCCGAATGTTCATACGGCGTTTTTCCATCGCCAAAAATTTGGTCGCTTCGCGAAAAGTAGTCCTGGGTAATTTTGCAGCGTTGATTCTAAGAATGGACTCCGTTTTACAGAATCAACTTTTACTGGTAAAAGATGTCCTCATTTCCAGGTTCAGCGGCAAAAATTGAGTCATGGGAATGATACCATTAGACATATAAGAGATTCGTATCCCCATACTGTCCGACTGAGTCATGGGAATGATACCATTAGACATATAAGAGATTCGTATCCCCATACTGTCCGACTTAAAGCCACCGGATGAACTTAGTAGAGACGTGCAGTTTTTTCATAAACATTGAGCTCACTCTGGAAAAGCTCAATTTTTAGGGAAAATGCCGATTTTTCCGCAGAAAAACGAACTAATTTAGCGATTTGGAGGTCATTTTCAGAATCAGCGCTACAGATCTACCCAGAATCTGTTGCTGAACCTTTGGCAAACCTAAAAAGATTAAAATTTGCTGATGAGTGATTTGATTATGACATTTGCGCATTTTGCAAGAGGAAACAAATTATGAAAAATACTGTGAACTTAGCTCACTAAGCACTCTCAGATAAAGTAATACAATTTTTGCGTGCGCAAATTCTTCATTGTATTTTTCTGCGACGAACGCGTCAGTCGCTCTCAAACTAACAGGGTTCTTTTTCTTAAATTGACATTGCATGAGACTCATTAATATTTTCCAAGAAAAAAGCTGGTTTCATTCCCTTTGGCTGCTCAGTTTGCGGTGCATAGCTGAGTTTCTTCCCCGGTGCGCAATAGTGACACACACCCTCCAGCAACGGACCATACTGAGGGAGACGCAGATTCTACATATTCAGAATAAAACAACTTCCCCGGAAAGCAATCTGATAAAAGTTCTCTTTTCAAGGTAAGTTCTCCGCAGAACTTTTGATGACGCAAATGTTGGTGTCATTATGGCCGCGGCTGATAAATGAAGTAAACTTGCATGCTGGTAATCGGTATTGTATGTGAAATGCCGTAATGGCAATTTTACATCTATATCAGTGTCTCTCGAACGAAGAAACGTAACTCGATTCCAAGGTTACCGAACTGACTCAAACAATTAGTTTGTTTTGCGAAAATGTACCTTTACGATTTGTATCCAAAATTGTTCTGATTTTTGCATTAAATCTAAAGATAGTTTAATGAAATTTTCAGTCTCAAATCCCCAAAATTCTCCAGTTAGAAATTCCCAAGATTATCCTGGTTAATATGCATTTTGCGAGGGAGAAATTTTGCAAAATTGAAATGGATTGAATGGACACGGACGTTCGTTCGTGAAGGGAACGACGATATGTACGGTTTATGTCTTTTTGTTTTATCCCTTATTCGCTCCCAACTCCTCAATGTGGAAATTACTCAAATTTCTCATGCACGTATATATTGGTTTTGTGGCGAATGTGGAATGTGGTTACAGATACAGTATTTGTTACCACTAAACGTTATTAAATACGAATGCCAGGACTTAGTGAGTTTTTGGACTACCGCTCACTTTTTGTGTCGCAGTATCTCGATTTATTTTGCAAGGAAAGCGCCGTACTCTTAAAGGATGCCTGTCATTCTTCAATTTCGTATGATACTAAGCAACACCCTTGTTGCAAAATAGTTGCTCGAAATGCCGCGGCGCGGCGGGCGAGGTTGACTGGCGCATTGGCGCCTACAAACCTAACAGGGATACCTCACGCATTGCGCAATGCGTGAAGTATCCCTGTTAGGTTTGCAGGCGCCAGTGCGCGTTAAGCGCCGGCAGCACGCCGCACAATGGATCGAAGGATAGGACGGAGCGGAAATAAGGTTACCATGTGACTTTCTAACATCATATGATGCAGGGACATTTGTTTACTACGGTAATTTTTCACGTAGAAGCTGAATTTTATTAAAAATGCGTTATAGTCGACAGTTTTTATGAGAAATCTTGTTTTTTCATCTGAGAAAAATATATAGAATAAAAGTTCTTGCGGTATTAATATCGGTATCATAAGCCAACCATCGGTACAAAACCAATATATAGGTGCATGAAACATTTGAGTGATTTCCACATTGGGGAGTTGGGAGCGAATAAAGGATATAACAAAAAGACATAAACCGTGCGGTAGGTCTGCACCTATAAAAACCCTGCGCTTGTGATGGTTCATTTTTATGTAACTTTTAGCGCTGATTCCCCAATTGACCTCAGTTTTTTCCCTTTACCTCTCATTTTCCGAAAAATGAAGATTTTACTCTATTAAAAGATTTTTCGATGAATTTCTGGGCGATTTTCTAGCCGATTGGTGTGTGATAAGAAAAAACAAATGTTGTTTTCGGATTTGGAGGCCCAAAATACATTTAAGGTTACCTATCGCATGCCTGAAAAGTGTTCTCATCTATATCTGGTAACGAGATTTTTTGATATTTGGTGAATACCATTCTTCCACAGTTGCTAGTCGCTTAAAACAATTTTTCTCCTTCTTTTTCTTTTCACTTTTCTTTCCTTTTCTTTTTTGTGCATCAAGGAGCAACACAGACACATCAATAGACTCCGAATATTCTCCCTGTATGGGTACTCTGCGCAAATCAGGACTTGATTTGCGGATAGTTGGATCAGATTTTGAGTAAAAGGAGCCACGGCTTTCAGAGAGCTCTAAAACGCCTTCAATTTTGGCATGTGCAACACGGGCGTCCGTTAAGCACGAATAGTTGCATGTAGGCGTCATTGTTCATCTAATGCTGCCTCAGGCGAGTCTGATGACTGAATGGATCTTATTTTTAAATAATGCCGCAATTACACGCTGAATTTAGCAGCTGAATGTGGAACTCAACAGTCATCGCCCAACGGCTGAAACTTCGCAAATTCGAGTTATTTTCATTCAGATGTGTATCAAATCTATACTCAAATAGTTCAGACAAATTCAACATTAGTCCGATGGTTGCTGAGAATCGTCGCTGAATTTTGCGCGTCCCGCGCAAAATTCAGGCATCGGGCCGATGACTTCCACATTCCAGCCACAGTCAGCTCCCACATTCAGCGTGTGATTGCGGCATAAGGCATTGCCACCTCTAGCTCATGCACAAAATTACCATCTTGCATATGGAATCGAATGGCAAATAAGCTATTTCTAAGATGATCTAGAATAATTATTAGTCTCTTATTGCTAAAAAGAAGATACTAACTCTAACGCACCCTTTGGACGAGGCTCATGGAGTCGGACAGCGGGTAAGCAAAGAACGGGGTAACCGCGTAGGGAGTAGGGTTGCCGGCGACGGAAAGGGACTGCGTATAGAATCCAACTGTATTGATATACATGAAAGGGACCTTGAGGTGGTGGGCCAGCCCAAGAGCGCACTCTGGATAGGCCCCGTCGATTATCAGTAACTCGAATTTTCGCCTCGTGTGGAGCAGGTGCTGCGTCTGTGTGTCGGAGAGCATAGCTTTACACGCCTGAAATGAAAAGAAGGAAGTCGACGATGTAAATGATCGCTTCTAAGATAAAGGAAAGGGTTGAAAGCCAGACAGATTTAAAAAGAAAGAACGAAAAAAAACCAATTCAAAATTGGTAAATCGGAAATATTTAAGCAAAAGTATTCTTACGTTTGAGACACTAAAAAGCATGACTGCAAATGCCTAAGAAAAAAAAAAAAAAACATTTAAATTTACTAAAGGAGGCATGTAAAAAGAAAGAAATAAGGAGAGTTCACGGCTTTGAAGAGTTATTCTTCCCAAAATATTGATAACCCTGGAACTCCTCGCCATAAATATACAGAGTTCCGTAAACTGTCAACATTTAACTACCGTTCCAGGCAAATGCCTGATTTAACTAAATGCCTTCGACAGATATATCGCAAAGTACGCCACGCCACTGACAGACAGGAAGTTTATCGACCTTTTGAAGATTACCTGGTATCCATATCTGATGGCATCGAGAAGCGGTACAGGGTCCTCGCCACGGATGCGAGCACCGACGAGGTCCCAGTCGGTGAAGTTGCGGACGTACATGACGAGGCCGTACGGGGTGATTTCCCGGACGCGGGGGTGGGGGCGGGTCCGGGTCTGGTCCGGGCTCTCCGAGTTTTCCGGGAAGGCGTTGACGAGCGTCACCGAGTGGTTGCGGAGGACAAGCCCTTGCCCCAGGGCCAGGAACGGGATCTTGTGGCTCCGGGTGCCGCCCATGGTGACCATGAGGATGTTGGCGCTCTCCAGGCTCCCAACCCAGGAGAGCAGTGCCACCGCCTTCACCCATCGCACGCTTGACAGATCCATTCTGCACCAAACACAAAAATATTCATAATACGTGGAGGAAAAGGCTAAAGGGAAAACAAGAGCCGCATAATTTGAATGGTTCGGTTGCGCTGATCACAGAATCGTGTTTTGATGCTTGATTCTTGTAGATTAGTTAAAAATATTAAGATCTGTCCAAACCACAACTTCCTACGTTCAATATTCTACAGTTTTTAAGAAAAATCACTCATATTGCGTCACTTGGCAGATTCAACAAAAGAAATATTCAAAACCTATTACACTAAGGAAGAGATCTGATTTCCTTTCAGGTGTGAGCAACTCTCATTAGGACGTATTTCTGTCTAACGGAACTATGTGCATTATGACGTGAGCCCTGTTATGCATATATTATTACGGGTCTCGGGGCTTATGTCTCAATGCACAAAGCTCCGTTTGGCAGAAATACGTTCATTATTACCTCAGAGTTTGATCATTATTTTACTTCTGCAAGTAGTGTCCTCTTTAAAGGGTTGTCACATAGTGGCTCAAAAATGTTCATACTATTTTATTTGAGGAGATTTTTTGGATTTAGTACCTTCTTGTGGGGGGATGCGAAATAAATATTCGTTGCATGCAATTCACGATCACTTAAAGCAAGCCTCCGATGATGAATAGATTAACAAGGACTTGAGCGATACAAACTCAGATCGAACTGATTATTTGACCTGAAAATAAAAGAGAACATTTTCCCCCTTGCATTTTTGAATGCAGTTTGTGCATCCACGTGTGCGTGCACCCATCAGTGTTCCGATTTAGGTTCCAGTCGAATAGGTAACTAAACTAACTGTGTGGCAAATTGTGAAGTATCACTGGGGATTGAAGGCGCTCCACGGCGGTATTGTAATCAGAGGGGCATCTATGAAAACAGCACATTTTTTCTGTAGTGAAAGAATCAATGTATCAACACTCTCTCTCTCCTACGTAGGCACACCAGTCACACCACTGGCTCTGAAAAATGTTTCATGACATGTTCATGTTCCATGTTTCACATTCGGGGCAGTCTCGCCTTCAGGTGCCTCTTCGGAAATATGAGACAGAGGAAGTTCCCTCGAAGCGGCAACATGGCGTCAGTTTTGCACGCCTCCAAACATCGAGATCGTATTCCAGTTCTTATTTTATCATATTTCTCGCACGTTTGTAAAAGTCGAGCTCCTTTCAATTATCGAAATAGGGAGTTCCTCTCGGCACACTCCTTTCCATTTATCATTAGCAAATTGTTCCTCTCTATTCTTGTCCGTTCCTTATTATTCCTGATTAGAGTCTCTGCTATCACGGCGCGTGTCTGATTTTTTAATCAATCCGTGCACTTTTCCGCGCTTCGCTAAGAGACTCGCCTTTCTCCTGGAAATGCAAGAGTGGGGTTTTGCCGCATGTCAGAAAAAAAGCCGTGCACAGAGAGAAAACTTCGGCCGTAAGGACTGAACTTCGGTTCATATTGAGCACCAAAGTTCTCGGTCATAGCCACTGTTGATGGTGACGTCACTATAGAAACTCTTCAGTATATTGAATTGATCCAAAATATGAAAATGGCATAACCTCTTACAATGCTATAAAAATGAACAGATTTTTTACAATAAAACCTGGATAAATTTATGAAATTTTCAGTAATAAGAAAAATTTTCGCGTTAATCAAGAAGAAATTTGGCAACGCTGGAATGGAGTTAGGTTTTATCGCCAGAGGAACGACGAATTAAGGCACTATTTGCGCGATTTTTACTGTTTTTTTTATAAGATACTGGGAAAAATATATGAAATCTTCAGTAAAAAGTGCTTTACGTAAAAATACTAATGCTGGACGGGCAACGTTGAAACGAGGTTAGGTTCTTTCGTCCCAAGAACGACGAATAAAGGTCCTCTTTTCCATTTAGACCGAAAATTGGATGGGCTTAGCGGTGAACGTTCGTTCCGCCGCTTAGTATTCCTCAGGAAGAACGTCTGGGGCAGTGGGGGGGGGAGGGAGGGGAAATCGGTGGCGCGATATGTTTTTATAGGGACGTCGAGAAAAGTGCACTTGACGAGCGAGGGGGGAGGGGGGGGCGCCCCGGCGGCGAAAATGAAATGGCGCAACGGAACGTCTGCGCTATTGTAGAGCGTCGCATGGAGGTGGGCTCTAACGAGGGAAATAATTCGCCATTAATTAGTCCCCTTTATGCGACGATCCCGGCGAGATATAAATCCGTGTGATGAGTTTTCCGAGTGTTATGCTACCCTCCGGCGTCACTAGAATTTTTAAAAAGCTGCCGAGTTGTCGGACGCGTTGCCGCCGTAGGCATAAACTTTCATTTCAGTCTCTTTACACTGAGAGTAAAGACATGAGGAATCCGTCTCTGATTGGCTCCCGCAATTGAAACTTCCACAGTGTCACAAACGGGAATGAATATGGACTGCATTTTGCAAAAAGAGACCAAAAGCATTGCGATGTTGCTAAGATTTTGCAACTTCTTTTGTCTTGGAAGAAAAACCTGGTCATCCATAAACATTTTCTACTTTACACCATAAAAACTTTAAATTTAGGACAAATATTACCACGTGCGTTTCAGATTTTTGCATGATTACAGTACTTTTATTGCAAAGGGTGAAGTCGCACAATCTTAGCGACATGACAATGCTTCTGGTTTTTGCAAAATGCAATCCATATTACACTTTTACTGATGGAGAATTCGCACGCAAATTTTTATTGCTTCATCAAGAGGTGATTTCACAGTATTTTTCATAATTTTTTCTGATGTAGGAAATAGTATAAAAACAGATTTAAAAATGTTAGAAAATGCATCGCCTAGTGACGTCATCTGGCAGCATTTCCCATTTAAACAATCGTGTTTTAGCAGAGTAGATCATTTTTCCATTGCTCCGACAATGAACGTTCAGTTGATGAACCAAGGGTACTTTTGTGTCCATTTCACTCAGTATTTTCCACTTAAACACAAAATTCATCAAATTTTAGACACCTGGAAATTCTTAATTACAAAAATTGTAAAGAGGAATGGACCGGGGAATTAGTGGCACGTCAGGGAACAAACCGAATGAGAGACGGAGCGGAGGAAAGCAGTGGCGTGGCCTGCTTTGTGATACATCGATTGATCTGCCATTCAAACCTATGGAAAAGGATCGATAAACAGGGTGTTCGTAGCGAACACCTTGAATATCGATTCTTTACAATAGCTTCAAATGGAGAAATATCGATAATCGATCATTCACGCCATGCCACTGGAGGAAAGGGATTCCCGAATGGACTGGTCAAAGATTACGAGAAACATTCAAACTGCTGTGTAATCTTCCTACCCGTTTTCGGCATCCATGAGCCGACTTTTCTTCACTCATCTTTTGAAATGACTAATGCTTGTATCGCTATCTTTGAGGTTTTGTCGCCGCGTAGAGTGAAAATGCGTGGCCGCCCACTGGAAAATTAATAGTCTTTAAAACGACTTGGAACCTAGAGCGTATTCATTAACGATCTTTCCCATTTCCTCAGGAGGTTCTATTTGGTTTATTATAGGAGGTCCAAGGAGATCAAATCCCTCACATTGCATCTTAAATATGACAATTTTAGCAATCTTAGAGTAAAATTAAGCATTAAGGCTTTCAGAATGGGCCCTTGGTACGGATTATACAGTGATCTATCACCCCCAAAAAATTCAATTATGATGGAAAATCTATCGTGAGTTTGGTAAATGTTAAGGCCAGTTCGAATATACACTTTAAAGGTTGTCAAGATCAAAGAATTTTTTACTTCCATATTTTGTAATTTTTCCAATCGCATATCATTGTAATCGCTTGCAAAGATTCACTTTCTGAGTTATATTGCTCAATTTTACTTTGAGGTTAGAAGAAATTGTTATTTTCATAATGCTAGATTATGGAATTTCTTGAACTTCCCTTAGTCGCAATATAAACCACACGGAGTTTCTGGAGGAAATAGGGAGCTGTTTAACGAACGACCATAAAAAACGTCCCTCAGACAGGGGTGGGCTGGAATCGAGAAAGTTGGGAGGTGATCATGATTCGCGAACCCTGTTTTATTCGTGTCATGTGTGAATTCATACATATATATTCCATTCACCTGTTTCTCACTCGATCAAACCAATTCGCCTTCAATATCTCGTTAGGCAAAATGGGTGGTTTGAAATCGGGAGTTGTTCCTCGCAGCAATTTGGCCACGTTCTCTTGGTTTATTCATAGCCACAGCGGCTTAATACTCCACTCACATTGTTTCTCACTCGTTCCGATCAGTTCGCCTTCAAAGACCCGGAAGGCAATGTGAGCGACTTGAGAGCAGTAATAGTTGCTAACAGCATTCCGGCCAGGTTCACTCGGTTTATTCATAGGTGCAGCGGTTTAACACTTCACTCACATTGTTTCTGCCTTGTTTCGACAATTCGCCTTCAATATTTCAATGGGCAATAAAAGTGGCTTTTGGGCAGTAATAGTTGCTTGCAGCAATTTTGTCATGCTTTTCTCATTGGTATCAAGCGCATAGCATTATCGGCCTCATCCTATCCCTTTCTTACAATGTTCAACACACCATCGTGTTTCTCGCAAAATTATACAATGGGAAAATCACCTTAATTTTGAATAATCTCAGTAGTCACAGATCATCAGGCAGGCGACACCTCCTGATCTCTTCCTCCACCTTCTGGCGCCAACCTTTGACTGGACGTTCACGCCGCCCTCTTTCGGGAGGTACCCAATCAAACACCCATTCGGACAACCGACCTTCTGCCATCCTCCGCACATATCATACGAAACCAGTCGCAATGATTTTGATATTTTCCACAATATCGTTCTCAATCCTGCCGTTCTGAGGAAAAACGCCGCATGCACTTTCGAGAGTTTTCAAATTTCCTCCGGTAAAATTATTATTTTTTAAGAGAGTTCTGAATATTTTTCCTTGAAATTTGCAGGAACTCTAGGTTTTCAACTTTCAAGAAATTTACAAGGAGATTGGAGGACACGTATTCTTAAATTCACTAGGAAATTTGAGTT